TTACTTTTTTTCATCTGACAATTCAGTTGTACTATTGATTTTGACAATTTTCAGGAATTTTAAGCCGTCTTTGGATTTTAGCTTCCTCAATCATTCTGAATTATTTAATGTTAGTATGAGGTACATGTGTTCCCAAGATTAAACTTGAGAAATGTGTAGTTGACCACTTGGGTACGTTTGATTTCTTTAGTAGATGCAGCGACAACCACCATTGTCCATGATCTATACTAAAGATAATTATTAGCAGTGCAACATCTCTGTTGGTTCAATCAAATAGTTCAGCCTGGTCGGTTCTTACTAATATTTAAGCCACCTTCAATTTTTAGCCTGCTCGGTCATTTTGGAGTAGTTTCAGTTTTGGGTGCATGTCTTTAATAGAACAACAAACTTATTTTAGGTGCTAAAATAAACACTAAACACCAATTCCTGATGGCGACTATTTTTAGAAAGACCATCCGGCTGGAGGAGATCCTTACTATCGATGTCAAGCCGGGGTGGAAGAAGGGCACGAAGATCACCTTCCTAGATGGAAGGATCCGGTTTTTTCGGTGCAGTTCTGTGTTTTAAAAAGTTATTGCGATGTAATTTTTTATTAACACTACAGTCCATGAAGTTATATTTACGGATATTTCATTTTTCGCATAAGATGAAGCACCATTTTATTTTTAAATATTTTCTGAAGTAAAATTTGTGAATAAACGGAATGATGTTTCAGAGGATTTGAATGGTTGTGACTTGTGGGGTCGCCTGGGGAGGCGACTGCGGCAGGGAGCAGCGGCACATCGGCGGACAACAACACATGTGTAGCGTGCAGCGGCAGCGGCTGCACGGCCACGACGGAAGAGCAACAACACGAATGAGGTGCAGGTGGGGGTAAGAGTAAGTATCACTTGTCATGTTTAACTCATGGCAACAAAGAGTAAGGATCACTTCACACTCACTACAGGAAAAATACTGCTGTGACGATTAGATACATATATGTTCCACTTGGTCGCTCAGTTAGTATTAATTTCCTATCTATTCCTTTTTCTTGCAGACACGTTTTGAAACTAGACTTTGATGGGAAGTTCATCCGTATATGGGAATTATACCTTTATATGCCTCTGATTTCACATCATGAGCAGTTAGAAATTACCATGTATGGATGCATGTATGTGTGCTCTTTGTGTAGGTTTACCTGCATTATTCCTAGACAAATGGAAGTCATATACTCCCTCTGTCCTTCGAAAAACATCTTGCTGGAAATTATTTGATGGTTTCCAATGCAGACTAAAATTTGAGTTGATGTTGCCTTTTGCAATTATGTTAATCTCAGCCATAAGATTGAAAGATCAGCAGACATTAGATCTTTGAGTAAAAAGTAGTAACTTAGAACCTTTGGTGAACTGTAGAAAGTGAGCTTTCGTTGTTTGAGATTGTAAATAACATGGGATGGAGACTTGACCGCCACATAATTATTTTACACTGACCTATTGAACCATGAAACAACATTGTTGAACTTCAACATTTCGGTAAAACATCACATGGAAAATTGGCTACAACCAACCAGATTGTTAAATCCTCATGTATTTTATACTGAACTCAAGAAGTGTGAATAAGCAAGAAAGCTTTTGAAGAGATCAGTGTATCGTCGCAACTGCTACTACGATTGGCTCCTTTCCAAGCACTGGTAAGATCTTTCAACAGATCTTAGCGACATCTCTCTCTTCTTAAATTTGCCAGGATTTTATGTAGTTGCTTTTCTTCTAATAAGGTGCATCCTGCTTGCTGTTGAATTGTGCAGAAAGGCTACATTGTATTAATTTCTTTTTCGCATAGTTGATACAATTCAACACATTTTGTATCAACTGATAACTTTGAATCTTTTCGTCTTTCATCAGATCATGCTTTGAATTTGCACATGAATAACTAAAAGCGCCATGACATTACGCATTTCCTTCATTTTAGCCATTAAACTTACTTATGTATCCGGTGTTAATTTATCATTTCTTGTATATTCATCTTAGTTAGGAAGGGTGGCTTTGGTCATCCTAAATTTTGTGTGGGTTCTTTTTTCAGTCCTGGCTAGCTTTGCAAAACAATAATTATTATAATCCTTGATCTGCACATGCCCAATTTCCTTATACCGTATAGTGTCTCATTCTAGAATAGTAGCCTTTCTGCTCTGTTAAGATGTTGAAGCACGGCGACATTTTTAACTCATGTTTAATATTGACAGAACTAAGCATTAGGTAGTTGCTTGCATGCCATTCATGTCATAGAGAAAATGCTAAATTTCCTCTCTCCAATTCCTTATCATGAACCTAACGCTTTATTGATCTGTTTTTAGCTTCTAGATGTTCTGAAACTATATACACAATAGATACTGTTTGTCTGAACTGTAGTTCCACTCCATGAAAAGCTGAGATAAACTAAGAATGGGGTAAAAAAAAATCCGACTCTTCCTGCTCACTGGCGGTGCCCGCTATGGCATGGGTGGCTTTACCGCAGCCGCCGAGCCTTCAAATTCTGAAGATAACAAGCAGCTCGAATCCAAGAAGAAAACTAATTTAGTTCAGCCAACACTCCTATTTTTTGTGCATCTTTGTTCCAACTTTGCATTGACGCCATGTCCACTTGGACAATGTTCATATGTTACTTTGATTTTCGCCCAAGAAAATAAACATTCTGAAATTTTTGTAGGAATAGACTAAATACGCTACGCCCTTACATTCTTTGTGGAGAAGTTCTTCAGCCAATCTATTGCCATTGATTTCTGTCATCCTAAAGTTTGAATTCAAAATTTTATACCCGCAAAATTTGATATGGTTTGATTGAGACGTGCGACGTGCGTTGCACGTACACACTTACTAGTACGCGAAAAGGCAGGAAATAAACCAAGATAAGGAATATAAGAATATGCGCGTGATTGATGTGAATTGATTGCGTTATGCATTGCCAAAGCAGAGATCGCTTACCATAGAGAATTGAATGAGTTACCAAAGATTGATCCTGGTTTAGCCCGGAAAATAAAAACCGATTTAAATAGAAAATCAGGCAGGGGAGGAAATAGAGGGAGTAGTAGAGATTACCATGCATGAATTAATTGTGGCTGGTTACCATACATGAATTGATTACCTGTTAAGGAAGGATAAAAAACCAAGGATAAAACCGGCAGGAGAAAACCGGTCGGGAGAAAAGAAAAACAATTTAGAGGAGAGGGGTCGTACGAGAGGTTGGACGAAGCGAGGGGAACGTAAGAGGGGAGAGGGAACCTTACGTTTTTTTAGGTAGTGGAGATAACGAAGGGAGTATTTGACGATGTATGCGTCAAACTGTCGGGCAAACGCATACGCGAAACGAATCGAGAGTGAGCAATGGGCCGGCCGACTTCACCACATAACCGTTTTGTTTTTCTTTTACTCATTTTCTGGTTTCTTTTGGGGTTTTTGTTTTTAATTTTCCTTTTTTCGCGTTTCTGTTCCTTCTTTTTCATTTTTTCCCTTCTTCAGTTTTTTCTATGTTTTGATTTTTCTTAAAAAAATTCCAAAAATGTTGTTTTCTTAAAGTTAGTTCAAAATTACAAAACAATGCCCATGTTTCATATTTTATTCATTAATTCAATTTTTTTGTATTTTCAAAAGTCGTTTGGGTCTCTGAAAAAAATGTACAAAATTTTCAAGAATAGTTCAGGTTTTTCAATTTTGTTCATAAGTTCGAAAAATGATCGCATTTTAAAGTAATTTTCGAGCTTATCAGAAAATGTTCATATTTTTCAAGAATTATTCAGGTTTTTCAATTTTCGTTCATGAATTCAACAAATATTCACATTTCCAAAAGTTGTTTAGGTTATCCAAAAATTGTTCAGAATGTCAAAAGGTGTTTCGGTTTTTTGTAAATGCGCACATTTTTCGTAAAATGGGTGCTTTTTAAAAAAAACGGAAACACCAGCCCCATTCGATTCCTCGGACGTCAGATGCTCGTCCTTTGTCGAATCATTCAGGCTTCCCAGCAGCTTCCATCATCGCTTGGATCAGCTTCTCAATCTGCCTCACAATCCAAGGAAAAAAAAGAAACATCAATCGTGTCCACCACTAGCCATATCTACCAAAAAAAGACTTATAGTCAGGTGGCGCAGAAACTGTGGATGACATAATAGGCACAGTTCTATCTAGGAGTATGCTTATATTGCTTACCTCGTGACCAGTTGAGAGGCCACATCTGGAAGGTGTTCAGTTCGAAAGCATGTCAATAGGGTTGCCCTGACTGCAGAAATACATCCATCTATGCTCAAAGTGAAGAAATGGATCTTGTCTGCTTACTCTGCAGTGCAACAGTACCATCAGAAACTGCATACCGCTCTTTCAGATCATCATAACAGCGGCGGAGCTTGCCCATCGCCTGCAAGCATGATATGCCTACTTTGATTAGATTGATTCAGAAGCCTATCACCTTTCAGAGGATATGTTTGGCATCAATTTCAGGCTAAGACTGACATGGACACGTCGGAAAGAACAACTAACATGGAACCAAATGGCAGGATCTTATGGAGAATCATAGGCTTTTAACCCGCTTTTGCAAATGGTGGATAGAATTGCAAGCCCACATGAATACAGGGATGCTTTGGTTCGGTCTTATGCGTAAGGGCTCAGTTGTTTTGATGCCCCTCGAATTTGACAATGGCAGAGGCTGAGCCATTAGGCATGCGATGCAAAAATCAACCGACACAAATTTGACTTTCATCAAGAGTGAACTGGTGCCCCTCTTCTACTTTCTTACTCATTCGAAAAAATCTCCTGCTTAATGTTCGGCCGTGGAGCCATATACATTTTACAACCGGCCACATGAATAACTTGCAGCGAGGAGTACCGTGTTACTATAATGTCGTGAGAGACTCCTTTACAGGGCATGGCGCATGCCCCCAAAGCCTTCATCGGCGCACACTATGTATATGAAATGTCGCAAAAATATTGAAATCAAGCGGCGGGACTTGATTCCTAGGACCTCGGTCGATGCTCGAATCATTCAGGCTTCCCAGCAGCTTCCATCATCGCCTTCGCTTGGATCAGCTTCTCAATGCGACTCACAATCTGAAAAATGAAAATTGGAATGCGTCCAACGTCACCATTAGCTATATTCACAAGAAGTAATTTACAAAGAAAGGCCCCGCATTCAGCTGCAATTTTTACGCTTTGTCCAATTGTGTAGACACATTTCTGTCTAGTATGCTTGTATTGCATACCTCAATGACCATGTCCTCCAGGCTCAAAGAGTCGATGCTGCTGTAGCCTAGCTGAGAAGCCACGTCTGGAAGGTGTTCAGTTCAAGAGAATGTCAATAGGGTTTCCCCCAACCGCAGAAAACACATCAGCAATGTTCAAAGTGAAGAAAGGATGTTGGATGCTGTCGGCTTACTCTGTACTGAAACAGTAACATCAGAGACTGCATACCGCTCTTTCAGATCATCATAACGCTGACGGAGCTTTGCCATTGCCTGCAGGCATAATATCTCCACTGTGATTCAATAGATGGTAAGCCTATCACCTTTCAGTGGGTACAATTGACATCGATTTCAGGCTAGGATAGAGATGGCATCAGAAAGACTCCAATTTAATGCAAATGCAAGGTATCATAGGCTCTGTATCCATCTTATGTGAAGGATGTGTACAAGCAAGATCACATGAGCACAAGGATGCTCCATTCATATGCAACATGCACATAACCATGATGAACACAACACACAATGAAGCTAGACCGCAAAGTCCACATTCTGAGTTTACATTTGCTGCATTACAGACCATATTTGGATGCAGTCTTTACATGGATGGATTAATGAGACTGTTGTTTAAGAAGCAAGGCAGAGTCAAAAGAGAACCAACCCTTTTAGCATGCCTGCTGAATCTGAATCACAGTTATCCAAGTGTAAACAGTGCAAGGCTATCTAAGTTACCGCGTTTCAAGAAAACAGGAATAACAAAACCATAAGGAGGAGGATGGAATTTGTAGAAGGGGGAAGAACCTGAGAAAAGGAATCAGGGTCTGAAATAGCTTGTGCCCCCTTGCTCTTCAACATATCGTTCACGGCTAATTCGAGAGGAACATCGATCCAGATGGAGACTCCATGCCTCAGCAGCCCTCTTGAGATCATTAGGCACAAACATCAGTCAGAAAACCTCTAGTAGATACACACCCACAGAATGGCTGCTGACAAAAGAGATAAGAGGCACATACAGGTTGGTGGAGTTCATGACGGCGCCATCGCCGCAGCAAAGCACCAGGCTGCCCATGGACGTGAGCTGCTTCAGCCCCTCGGTCTGGCGACAGTTTCAGGTAGTATTCAGACAAAATGTCGAAATGACGCTAGGATTGAAGGAATGAATTGACTTCAGAAAGAAAGACGGTATACCTCGACTTCGAGGTAGCCTTTCTCGTCGGACTCCCGGAACGCCGCGAGGGCGTCCTTGCCGCCGAGGACGTCCTCGAGCAGGTCCTCGCTGCAGAGGTAGCGGTATATGATGGAGTTGGCGAGCAGCTTGGCGATGTTGCGCTTGGCATTGCAGTCCGTCCCTGCAGCCGATTCGGTTCAGTTCAGTGCAGGTTGTTATTCAGCAACAATTCCAATCTGAACTGGGAATATATATGCAATGCATTCAAGAGTTCGCAGAGAAAGAAGAGCATACCGACGATGTAGATGGGCGTCTTCCTGAAATCGCCGACGGCCTCCGCGGTCTTCCTCTGGATTGGAATTGGGTAAAATTGAGATTGCGGTCATGCACACCCACCACAAACACAAAGCAGTAGTGAACGAATGAAGAAGATTGAAGGTGAGATGAATAGGTGGGAGGACGTACGAGCAGGGCGACGGAGGGGTTGAGCTCCTCGAGGGTCAGCTCGGTGGCTGCAAATCGTCAGAAGCCATTGCTGTCAAGAAAACTACTACTGCCGGAAGGGAATCTGCAACGGAGGGAGGGCGGGCGCTGACCTGGGAAGGCGCGGAGCCGACGGGGACGGATACGTCGGGTGGAGCCGCGCCGGGGGGAGAATACGGAGTGCTGCTTCGGGCTCGGGGAGGGGGAGGGGGAGACGGAGGGCGAGAAGAAGGCCGCTGCCGCCCGCATCGCCATCGCCATTGCCGCTTCGACCGACCTCAATCTCCCTCCCTCGAGTTATCCGCGCCACCACCACCGAGGAGCGAAAGGCAGGGCCAGGAGAGAAGGGAGGTATCTCCGCCGTCGATGCGCGAGTGGACGGCGCGCGATCGGCTGCTAAGCGGGACCCACTTCCCAGTGACCCGCCCTGGAAGCCGAGACCATCTATAAAACCAGAGCCGGGACACACCGGTTCGGCCCAGTACCAGCTAGGGTTTCTCCGTTCCTCCGCCAGCCGCCGCCGCCGAAGTCTCGTCTGAATCTTTTGCTTGGCAGATCGCTGGATCTCATCCTCGGTGTTACTTATTTTCTTCTCTGTCTCGATTTCTTGTGCGGCTTGCGGCGTTTCTTCTGATTTCTTGTCTCGTTTGTTCGTGTGGATTTGGTGGTTTGGGGGGAATGGTGTGATGATCTCCTTCAACGAGTTGCAGAAGCAGTCATGTGCATTCCATCTCAATTCCACACGAGATTTCTGATCATTCCTCCTCCTCGATTCAACTGCTCTGTTACTTGGGTCTTTTGAGATTTGTAGTTGTACTAGCTAAGTGGCAATGAGGAACGAAACCTGTGCCGGAGGCGGATGCGCCCATGTCGGTAGCACAACCCTCTAAGAAGTTCTGAGCCCCAAAGTTCGATCCAATGTTCACTTGTTTTTTAGCTTGTTTTTCGTTGTTTCCGGTGATGTGCTTCGATTTGATGGTGGTGGATTGATTTGTATTCATGCGAGGTGATGATGTTATGTATGATAGTCTGTCAATCCCCTGATGTCACAAGGTGATGACACGCATACATCCCGACAGGCTCTGATCGCATCTGGATTTCCGTTTGCTGTGTTCCTCTCTTTTGATCTCTTTGTAAGATCGGGATGAATTTGTCGGGCTCTATATCATGAGTCAACAGCAGGCGCCGTTCAATGGCGCCCTGTCTGCCGCATGGAGCCTAGATTGACATGCCAGGAGAAGATTGTTTGGAGATCCTTCTGTTAACTCCAAGCCACAACATCTGGCCATAATTCTTGAAGAACATATAATTCGGATTTCTCCGGTCTTTCAGTCCCAACACAGATGCTGCATGTTGAAATATTGGGTCTGCGGTTTGCACCAAACCGATCGAGTTGCATCTCGGTGTCATACGCAGAGACTACAAGCATGTGAAGTTGAACGGAGGATAACCACCGACTATAGCTGCCTAGAAGATCATCAACTACCATTGAAAAAACATATGAACAGATGGCATCGTTTCACTTTTCTGTTTAACAGATATCTTTATCAATGAGCAAGCTCTATTAATCTCAGGCATTAACTACTACGTCCTGAGTTCACTAATATAAGATGTATTGTGTGTTTGTTCAAGTCCACACTGAAGTATCTAGAATATCTTATATTTGTGAATCGAGTATTTATCATGACGCATTCCAATAGCAAAATTCAGAACGGCCAAATATCGTTCAATTTAACCCCAATGTAGTGACAGTAACAAGTCTCATGAAATTTGTTTTGATTTGCTGGGCTTCTCTGATTGCTCATCTTGTGAATTTGATTGGAAATGTGTGATATCATTTGCAGAAGCAATCATGTGGACCACAGCTCAATGCCACATGAGATTTTTGGCACCTCCTTATTAGTTGCATAGTAAATGAGCCAAGGGAACAACATATGAGAAATTTAGGCCTCGGTTGGAACATGCATGTCACAGGGTTTTTTCGGCCCTAGGTTCCAATCCAGTTGTAACAGCACAGATGTTCCAATACACACACACAGATTGCACTTGCACACAAATTGCACAAGTATAAAATGAGCTAAAATTTTGATTTATATAACAATATATAACTTCAGCAAACAACCAAATACGATTCTTGTATTATCTTACTGAAATTCGGATCCATCTTGTTACTTTTGCTATCGGGGGTAGGAACGAAGCAGTGAAGAATGAATACCTGAGCATATGCCACACATCATGAGAATGATATTGAACAAGAAGAGTCAGCTCAACCTGCCTCTTCCTTTGCTCCCCCTACGACATGGAGGCGCTTACCCTTCTCCAACAAGCGTTCCACCACGCGGCGATTGATTACTGCTTTCCGTCACCACGCCCCTTCTCTGATTTTTTAGCAATCATCCATTTGAACATAGTTTTCATGACGTACTCAAAGTCGGCAGTTTAATTACAAATTTATTGAGGCATACTTGTCTCATCTTGTCAGCATGCATAACAAGTTAGGAATCAACGATTGTTCAATAGTTCGTTTAGATGTAAAATACGTCAGGAAGATTATTGATTACTTCATGGACTCAGGTAATCATAGAATCATGTGAAAGTACAACCTGAAAAGAAGCTATGTAATGAACACTTTGTGCTCTATGAAGGATACCAACCACGCATGTCAACAACAACCATGTATGTCAAAAGATTAGCACAAAATCCGGATGGTACAAGGTAGACATAGCATGTTACACAAGTTTAAAGTAACTATATCCCCTGAGTGCCATCTATTGGCCCTAGTCAGTTTTGCATTAAACAAGCTATAGTTACATAAAATACATGGAGTGTACCTCAAAGAAATGCTAAAACTGGGGATTTGTTGATATTTTTGAATGAGTATCTAGCCAATTATGCACCATTTTTTATTTTTTTTATTTTTATTTTTTATTTTTATTTTTATTTTTATTTTTTATTTTTTATTTCTTTGACATACTTAGCTCCGTAAGAATGGATGTGTTGTAAGGAATCTTTTCGCACCGGTATTTACGTGAGGCCCATTCGTATTTTTTCACACCGGTATATTTTACACGCTTTGGGGCCTGAAACGACGAACCAAGTGGTGCCTTAACTCGAGGGAGGGGGACATCCCCCCCCCCTTCTCTTGTCGGCTCCAAATATCCTTGAGGATAGATGGGCAGGCATATCAATCAAAGTCCAATTATATGTAAATTCGGTTGTTTGTGTATTTAGGACTTGGGAGCATCAATACATCAACTTTCTACTTTAGCATCATATGTATGAATTAAACTATACCATGGAAACCATAGTGTCGAGGTTGTATTTCCCAACAACATGGTTTGTGTTTGCTTATTGCTGATTTCTAGCAAAGATTATTGCCATGCCAAAATCTGGTATCACCGGTCACAAAACGATTTATGTTGACGCTTTGGGATATTTGTGAACGATCTTTACGCCTACTCTTGTTGGAGACAGGTATGTCCTCTCGTGACCCTCTTCATTATACTGAATCTAGTCAGCCATTCAAGCAATGATTTTCTTGTAGCATTTGCAAAAGTCAATAAGTATAATTTAGCTCATTTCTATAAACTACTCGATAGTTAGCCACTTCACAGCAATTTTATCGTACCCTTGTAGACTTTGTCAAAACCTCCTCTTCCAAGCGCATTGAGATGAGAGAAATTTGACATTGTATTGACTATGGCTTTAAACTGACAAATGACAATTTCAGAGCCTTGCAAGTGAGTCAAACTAATGTAAATCGAGGGGAGGGGGACATAGGCCCCCTCTTTTTTTGGCTCCAATACACATTGCTAAGCATACCATTCAAATTACAATTCTATGTAAATCCAATTGTTTGTGCATTTATTGTTTTGGCTTCAGATCATCGCTTTCGGGCTTTAGATCTGATATATTGCAAAACACTACTGAAATGTGAAAGTTTTTCAAAAAATGAGCATGCACTTTTGAAAAGTTGTTACAAAAAACCTCGAATATAGACTTCAGAAGAGTGTCTACTGCTTGTGCAATTTTCCTCTTTTTCCTCTCCTCCTACATGTTGGATCAATGAAACACATGATCAATGTGTCAAGCAAGACGTTCATGGGTGTGCATCCCATTTGGTTCCTTCTCAAAAGTTTCTAATCCTGATGAATTACTTGCTTGAAGGATCTTATCAATCTCATTGATTGGTTTCACTCCTTGCAAGAAAGACCCCATGCCACGGACGAATGTGCAAACAATGTGTTATTCTTCGATGAAGTGAATGGTCAATTTGTGGATGTAATTGTTCTTTTTCTTATGAGGATATTATTAATCTCTTTGTTTGGTGTGGCTACCAGAGGCCAAGGACCATTCTCACCAAGGAATGTAAATAGTCAAGTCTAAGACGTGCAAACTGATAACGGAATATGTTATTATTTTGGTTTTGCAATATATGTTGTTGTTACATTAAAATTTACAAAGTTAGTTGTTCCTGAAAACTTGGTGACACTTAAGGACGACACATGCATCTCCACCAACTGAAGTCAATCCTAATGATGAAGATTCCTAATTTTATTATCCCCCTCCATTGTTCAAGTACTAGCCGTGCACATGTTTGTGATGAAGTAATTCCAAGGGCCATAGCACATGGAACATGAGACCATAATTATCTATTCATGCGGTCTTTTTGGAGATTCATCTGCTTTTAATTCCAAGCCACAATATCCGGCGATACTTCAAATAAAAACAAACAAATTAATATGGATTTGTCCGGTCTTCCAGTCCAATAAAAGATGCTCCACACCAAAATATTAGGTGTGTGGTTTGCACCAAACTGAGCAAGTTGCATGCCAGTGTCATACATGGGGACTGCAACCACATGTTGTGTAGTTGAAACATTAACAAGGATTACCACCAAATGTATCTAAGCACATAATTGCACTGAAAATTCATCAAGGCTATGGTAAAACATACTATGAATCAGATGGCATCAGGCGTCATCACCATTGTTTGTTTGTTGGACAAACTCTATTAATCAATGTGATGGGATCAAGAGTCCATGAACTGTGTCCTTAGCTTCCAACCTAGTACTCTTCATGGTCCAGAATCATGATGCAGTGATCAAGAATCTATGGTCTGCTTCCTTCTTCGTTGCCAACGGGGTTTTAGTTCAATCCAGGCCAACAATGCAACACCACAACAGTAAAAACTGCAAATTTTGGAATAGCCAAATATCTCTCGGAACAGCCAAAAATTATACATAGCACAGCTTGAAGCAAGTAAGACCCTGCAGATTCAGTCATACAACCTCATAGTTTTATTATCATTCAACTATTACTAGTTCCAGTGCACACTTTTGTGACCAATCTAGTACCAGGAACAATCTCATCCCTGATCTTGGCTCCTGTTTTCTCATTTCCCAATTCCACACAAGGTTTCTGATCATTTCACAGAACTCGGACGAAGATACGGGCACCAGCGGTACGACCACACATGATATTGCTCGTGATTTCATCTACGAGTGACGGTTGGGCTGTCACTCCCTCCCTCTTTGTTCAATCTGATTGTATAGCAGTGGCGGAGGCTATGAACTTGGACTCCGCATCATTCAGCATTGTTATAGGGAGTCAAATGCAGTTGCTCATGAGGTAGCTCTCGTGTTAGGAGGTATAATCCACCTACTTTGTCCTGATTATATTTTATCATTGATTGTGGATGATTGCTTAACTTAATACTCATATAAAGCTAGCTAGTCACGATGGCTTTTTCTTATCTTAAAAAAGGAAGAAAGAGGAAAAGCACGAATCGTGACACTGCTATAAAAATGATGGTCAAACTCTACAACGTGCAAACTGATATCAGGGATATGCTCTTGTGCTTGCAACATAAGGCCATGTGAAATCAAAACACAAAAAGTTCACAACCTTTAGCAATCTGCTGGTAACTGCAACCCCTCCTGGATCACGGTTCACCATTTTTTTTTGTACCAGATGTAATTGAATGGCACACAACAACAGCAAAAGCATCAATCAAGAATGGTAACCAAGTTTCGATCCACCGAAACAGTAAGAACAAATCGACAACACAGCTTGATGATGAAGCAGACTTGCAAATTCAGTCACACTCCTGATGAATTAAGGTTCACAATCTTATTGGCATCATCCATTATTACAAGTACCAGTTGTGCACATGTTTGTGAACAAAGCTAGTACAAGAACAGGGGGCTACCATGGGAAAGCTGGCTAGTAGAAATATACCTCACCCCAACACCAAAAAAATTTCAATGAATCGGTTCCATTCCGACTGTTGTCCGAGCATATGCCCGCTCCTACGAGCAAGCAACCGACAAATGGTGAATCCCTCACAAAAAAGAATGAAATGGAAAATGCCGGCCAACAATGGGGCGCACAACAACAAGAAGCTAGAATCGGTGTTTCTATCACTCGCTCAATCTCTAGCAGCAGTCAGAACCTACCATACCACGAACATACAACAACAGAAAAACGCCATACAAAAAAAGGTACACAGCTTCAGGAGCAGGCAAGACCCTGCAAATGCACAGTTAGACAGATCATCTATCCTCTCCTCTTGGGCATAGATGTTGCTCCACAATTCGGCACTCTAGCTCCGGTGACAAAATTGGCTCGACTGCATCGCCGACTAAAGACTACAACAACAACCCCCTCCTCAAAGTACAACAGCTGCCTTGTCTGGAGTAACATGCTGGAGGACGGTGGCGATCAATGGCTCGTAATGGTCTGCACCAGCACCGCACCATGCTGCAGAGGTAAAGATTTGGGTTTCTACTTAGACAGGGAAACAGAAACACAACTGACTGAGATAGATACCAATCTATAACAGGCTAACACATTCCTTAACATATTGACTTGCAGAAGAAAGCACAGCAAGAATGCCAATCTACAACGCACCTGTTCCCTTCATGAATAGAAAGATGGGCACATCACAGATTTCTCCTCTAGGGAGGTGTGGGAGGAAGAACACGCAGTTATCCTCATCAACCATTGCATCGGTGCCATGTGCTTGTACCTGTCAATGCCGCACAAATAAAAGATCCAATCAGACCAAGATGTAAAATGCTGCATACAACAGTGGCCAGTTCTATGGACAGAAATCACATAACTGAGAAAAAATAAACACATCATATCAGCGAGTTTATTGACTTTACCACGAAAACTTCTCTCTTGAACTCGGTGGCGAGGCACTCGATGGCAATATCATCGCCAAACGCAGCCGCACGCCCATCCCGGTTCTCATCAATGGTCAGTAAGCCCTCCTCTGTGTACTGCAGGGTGATTATGTCATGCTCATCCTCCGCCGAACCAGAAATGGACATGTACTTGGCCCAACTATCTCCATCGTCTACAGCAATACATCTCTCCTTGTAGATAGTCTCGGCTGCCAGTTCCCTGCAAGGCGATGAAGAAGATCAGCACATACAATTTGGAGGATCAGTTGACCAACCTCTGTGGGCTGTCACAACTGCACAGGGTACAGCAACTCTAATTTAGCACTACAAATCAACATGATATTCTGTACTCCCTCTCTCAGTTTACAGGGCGTGCGCGTATCCCTAGGTCGTCAATTTGACCAATCTAATACAAGTCATGTATTACAAAAAATATACCAATATAAAATTCAGATGTTCTATTTCCAAACCGTATAATTTTTGTGTTATATAGTTTATATTAGGGTGATAAAATTGGCAACCTAGGTATACGCGCAGGACTTGTAAACTGAGAGATGTACTGCAATTGTACCATTGCCAGGCAAGCGGCATAAATGGTAGGTAGTGTGCCAAATAATGTGCTACAGCATAATTAACAGGCTGGATGTCAGGGTGGCAACAGTAAAACCATGATTCCTTCGTTGACCAATTCATGCGGGGCAGAATACTACTAAGACACCATGTGAAGCGATTCTTGCGGCTTCATGATGCATTGGAATTGCATCAATTGGTTCTACACGAATTAACATAAGAAAGAATCAAGAAACGCAAGGTCAAGATGTAAATATAGACATAAAAGACTAGACAACTTTCTTGGACAGCAAAGGGGATCGGATCAACGCAAGACAGGAAGCCGAATTCCGCGTGATTCGTGGCAGCGGAGGGAAAGACGGGGTCTTTGAAGGAGAGGGCGACGCCTTTCTGAGATCCCGGCACGCATGGTAGCAACAGATTCGAGCGCGAGGAAGAAGACTACTAGATCCGGGATTGGCGGGGCGGTCACGGTACCTTTGGATGCCGATGCCGACGAGCTCCTGGATGGCGGCGTCGAGGGCGTCGCGGTCGGCCTTGGGCGCGAGCAGCTTGACCTCCTGCACGACGTGGACGCCCCAGCCGGCCTTGAGATCCGGCGCGTAGAGGTGGCGCACGGCGGCGTCGACCGCGGCCCTGTCGGAGGCCTCGGCCGCGGCGTAGACGTCGGCGAAGCGGCGCACGGCGCGGTGCCGGAGCTCGCGCGCCTCGGCCTTGGCGGCGGCGGCCCTCCGCGCGGCGGTAAAGAGGCAGTTGCCGTCGGACTCGACCTCCCCGCCGTGGTCGAGGCGGAAGACGACGGCGGGGGGCGGGGCCTCCGGGCCGTCGCCCCCCTGGCGGGGCGGCTTCCAGGCGACGCCGCGCTCCCAGATCCGGAGCAGGCGGCGGCGCTGCTGGTCGTCGAGCGCCCAGACGGCGGACCAGCCGGCGGGGGGGTCGGGGGCGGCCCAGGCGAGGAGCTGCGGCGGCGAGGCCGGGGCGGGGGAGGGCGGGAGGGCCTCGGCGACGGCGACGGCGCCGCCGCCGGAGGAGGACTCGCAGAGGAGCTTGCCCATCCTGGCTGGCAGCTAGGGTTCGGTCGCTGGC